GAAGGGGGCTAGAGCAATCCCATGATGGGTGACCCACTGGGAAGTTGCTCGTGAGTTCCCAAAAACAAAACCGTGAGGGAATGGTAAGCCCAAAGCGGACAATATCGTGCTACGGTGGTGGAGCGGGCCCGGGAAGTGATCCGCCCCGGGCCGGGATGTGATATATATATAGATTTTTACAACTAAAAAAAAAAACCATAATATATGTAGACCATATTAATTTACCTACCTACTATTTGAAATGTTCATTTCCAATTATGAAAAATATTGTATATATACCAACAACAAAGTATTGCATAAACTTAGGAACTGGATCATGCTTTTGATTTTATCTTTTACCCACAAACAATCATATACATATTACTTTATATATTTTTACCAAAAAATGCCCCTAATAGGTTAATATATGTAATAATACATGAAAAATAATTTACCTACCATGTATACAAAAATGTTATTTGATTCAAAATATATAATCTAGGTTTTCTCAAAAAAAAAAAAAAATTATATATATATTTTTTTATATAATTGAAACAAATTAATTTACCTACCCCGTGTGTAATATAATGTATTTTTTTCACTAATACATGGAGAATAATTGACACACCCCGAGTTGGCATTCACAAGTCCACGGGTTAAAACTCGGCAAAACCCCAAACAATTGGTACGGCTAGGTTCATGAAGTCGAGATAAGTTCAATGGTGGTATTTATAAGTTCAATCTGTGACGATTTGGTGATGGTTGTGTTGTGGTGGGTGCCTCGGGTGCAAGAAGAACAGAGAAGAAGGTGTGAAAGGAAGAGAGAGAAAGAGATCAGTTCTGATTGGCAGAGAAGAGAGAGAGAGAGAGAGTAGTTTTTAATTGGTCCAAAAGAAAGAAAATATATACTGGCTAGGGAGGATAGAAATTAAAATAATTGGTAGACAAGGATAGTAATAAAAATAATATAGAATCGCATATACATCCACGTCACTTTGTTATTAATGTCACATCCCGGCCCGAGGTCCACCACATCCCGGGCCCGCTCTACCACGTAGCTCGATATTGTCCGCTTTGGGCCCCGACCACGCCCTCACGGTTTTGTTTCTGTGAACTCACACGAGAATAGGTGTAGCTATCTGTGAACTCACACGGCTACACGTGCCTGGCACACTAACGGATTCCCTAACGGTGTTAGGGAATATTCCATTAAATTCCTAGAATATTCTCTTAAAGTTACCTGACGCCGTCAGTATATTCGGTCAAAGTTGATGGAATATTCTCTTTCCTTCTTTGGTGACTCGTCGGAAACCACCATCGGTCGCCATCTGTAACACCAATTTCTGGAAAAATTTAAAACTTCATTTTTCAATCAAATTCCACAAATCTTATATGGATTCAAAGCTCTCAACAAGGAGAACATAACCTTACCTACTTACTCGTGACAATGAGTACTATTTAATTTCACGAGCAAGAAAAATAATTTAAAACTATATACATACGTCCACGTCACCAAGCCAAAGAGGGCATAATCATCATTTACACTTTCGGAGAGATAAATATATATTTATTCGGGACGGGTCGTCATAGGAGAAATTTTTCATTGTGCTCGTAATACAAGTGGTACATCACTTGTTATTATGTAAGTAGTGGGAAATTTTATATTTTATGTTATTAATTTTTTTAACAAAAGAATCTCACAACTTATATAGACACGTGGTGTATCACCCCGTGTTTCGGGCATATTGAAAAATCGTCGTCATCTCGACTACTATTGGGAAACAACACCACAAAAATAAAACTAGGGAATGTAATTCAATTTGAAGTATTTTTCTTATTCTAAGCAAAAATAAAATAAATAGAAATAAAAATAAAAATCTATTAACGTAGCTGACAATGGGAGATAAAAGTGGAGTGTGAAGGGGGGTTGGGGAGACGTGCCCAACGCAAGTTGGATTTTTTATGTTTTTTTTTTTTTTTTGTTCTTTTGTCCTTATCATTAAATAAAGTTAGTATATCATTTTTTTTATTTATTGAAATGTAAAGATTTGAATCTCTTTTCATTAATTTTCCTTAATTAATTGTACGTATATTTGAATGGAGAGATTAATGATTCTAAGAAACTTCATTAATGTTTAAATTCATTGCATATTAATAAATTATAACAAATTGAAGCGGTTAATGCGTTTGGCAAAGAAAAAAAAGAAATAAAATAAATAAGCATTGATGCTATACTTTCCTTAACATTTCGTAATTGTTTTTCAAAGTTGCACAAATTAGACAATTTTAATCTAATCTTGTCATTTTCTTACCAAATGAAAATCTGAAAGGGACTATAAAATAATTTACAAAAAATTATAGGTAAATTATATGGACTATGTATTTGTAATAAAATTTGCCTAGTATCTATATATATAAAGGGAGAGCCCTAGTTGGGTGAAGCTTTCCAAAATGCCTATAAAGGGAGAGCCCCAGTTTGGTGAAGCTTTCCAAAATGCCACAAATGGCCATTTCTTTCCTTCACAATCAAAACCCAAAAATTTCAAAAAATAAGGACAAACTGGTAAAAAGCCATATCTCAACAAAAAAAACTATATTGGAAAACAAAATAAATACAAAAAGAAAAAAAGAAAACGGAATTCAAAACTAACACTGGTCAAGAGTCCACGTTGTGGGTAAGTGAATGGTAACTGATCTTCATTTAAAAAAATAAAATATAAAAAAAAAAGTAGATAAATACAAAAGGTAAGAGATGCACTTAAAAAAACCAATCCAAAAAATGAAAAAAAATTGGAAAGAAACGTGGGATTGTGGGAGATACTGTAGTTTTCAAACTGCTTTAAGTAATTGATAAAAAATAAAAAATAAACCTAATACATTTACAGTTAGAACTACTATTCTGCAGTTGAAGGCTTGAACCGTGTAATGGGAGCAATTTTGTCGTACGCAAACGTGGGATATGAAGCAGTTTTGCGGGAGGAGTAGTGAATAAAACACAAAATAAAAGAATATGAAGAGAACAAATTGAAATTGTTTTGCAGGAGCCTTGAGGAGAAGATGAAATTGGCAAAAACCCAACAAGAACTGGTCCTTTGACAAAGTCGATATCACAATTTCTGTTGTGGTTAATTGAGTTTTATTCCTCCTCCATAATTCTAATTTCTCAATTATTAATGTATGTGTTTTATTCCTACCACATGTTTAAAGTGAGCAACGAATCACTCCACTCCTGCGATGCATACAAAAAAGGAATATGAATTCACTTTCTTCTTCTACATTGACCAATCTCCTCTGCATGTTTTTTCGAAGTTTCTTTCGAATTTCCGTCAGATTGCTCCTGTCGTCCAGAATCATCTCGAACTGGTTTTTGGTTTACATAGGGAGATTAGAAAGTTATAGACAACCAAATAGAAGAGGGGAGAGAGAGTGTCCTTGCGAATGTCAAATTTGTATCCAACTCGATTGGATCGGGACTACAAAAAGAGAGTGTCCTTGAGAATGTCAAATTTACCTTTTTCTCTTTCTTCAAAACCCAAGTGTGAGTGCATCGGGACTACAAAAGATAGTCAATGGTTCAAAGAAACGAAATAATTTGTTGAATCGTTAATTGCCAAAAAGTGAGCTTCAGGCCAATAATTTTATATTAATTGTCATATTAATGGACTATTGGTCATTTTAATTAATTCAATAGATCGGACCATACATGGTCGATTGTAAAAACAAAAAATAATTATAACATTCGGGTTAAAATTATAAAAAATACCAAAAATAGCATTAGATTCAAAAAATCATAACCCAATCACAGTGCGCTTGGGTGCTGTGAGCAAGGCAAGGCCCTAAAAGGGCTTAAGGGGGACCACAGGTTTCAACTGGGCAGCCCAAATCATGGCTGCAGGCCACGTGCTGTTTCTGGGTAAGCACATCCGCAAAGGCTGGCTTGATTTGGTCTCGGGCCGAAGCACTAGCAAGCCTAGCTGAAGCTGGTTTTGGGTTGAGGAGCTGTAAAGCCCAGCCAAGCTGGCTTTGGGTTGAGGCGCTGGAAAGCCCAGACGAAGCTGGCTTTGTGGTTAAGATGTGACAATGTAAGCGCAGCATCCAAGAAAGCTGCTGCAGGCGGGCTGGGGCAAGGGGACGAGCCCGGCAAGCACAAAAGCTTGTTGGCAGGTTGGGCCAGGCTGCAAGGGACGGCCCAGCAAGGTTGTAAGCTTGCTGATGGGCTTGAGGCTTCGGGCTTGTGGAAACCCAACCCAGGCCGAAGCCTGGTTGTCTTTGCAGGGACAGAAAGCCACGAGGCTGCTGCACGGTGGTCCATGGCGTCGAAACGATGCCGTCCCAAAGCGATGGCATGGCTGCAGGCCAGCCGACTCGGCAGTGCCAACGGCGGCGCGGTGTGAGACCGCGGCTCGGCCGCAAAAAAGAACAAAAAAATCCCTTTTTTTTTTGTTTTTTTCCGAATCTAATGTTTAAAACCCTAATTTCTTCTAAATTAATTTGGATGATTTGACTCACAAATTCTACATAGCATAATTGCATGAATAAGCATATATATTAACAAATATATGAACATATATACAATATATATATATATAATTGAAAGGAAAATATAAATATAGGGGTTCATACATCATGGGGAATGTTTTCATGCTTCAAGGTTTTTTCAAATATCTTAATTTATTTAAAAAAAATCCTGATTGGCAGAAAATAATTGAAAGCCTTTGATGTTGTAGAAGAAAGCCTCCTCATCCTTTAGTTCCTTAACTTCTGACAAGAGCATACTAATAACGTGTTGTAGGCCTATTTGACTAAACTGCATTTAGGACAGAGAGGGAGAGGGGCCGATGGCAACAGAGAGAGATGTAATTGTGAGATGTGTGTTGTATCATCGTATTGTGCCTTTATTTATAATAATAAGGAAGGTTAAATACTCGTAGATATACTAAAATTTACACAATCACATTTCTAATTCAATAGGATTGCAACAAAGCCAGGCTTAAATTATAAAATAGGCCATCAGCCCCATATTGACCTCTCGTAGGCTATGCCAGTACTCAATACTAGTAAGAAAGAACACTAATGAACCTCCGAATTCTGAGAAAAGCTTGGCGGAGCCGAAACGGTGACCAACCGTCATCCGCTTTCTCCCATAACATCATACGCTTATTCTCGCAACTCTCCTCGCAGTCCACACCGTACGATCAATCTCTCTCTTTATTTATTTATTTTTCATAAATTTAATGATGATGTTCTACGGCGAGATTCAATTGGGTTTAATCCTCCTGATTAGTTTTAATTTCATCAGGGATGCCTTCGGCATTGCGTTCGACATCGACGGCGTCGTTTTACGAAGCGAAGCTCCCATCGGAGGCTCTCCTCGGGCCTTCAGAAGATTGTACGACGATTCTGGTACCCCCATTTCTTATACCCATCTCCCAATTTTTGATCTTTCTGGGAATTAATTTCTGGAATTTTAAATTTTTTTGGCAGGTAATCTCAGGATTCCATACGTGTTCTTGACAAATGGTTAGTTTCTAATTTGTAATTTTTCCACCTGGTATAATCCAAATTTTTGTTATTTTTTTTTTAAATTAATTGTTTTAAATTTTTGGGTTTTTTGGTTGTGATAGGAGGTGGGATTAGCGAATCCAAAAGAGCCCTTGAGTTAAGTTCACTTTTAGGAGTGAAGATTTCACCTTTACAGGTATATTTTTGTTGAGGGTTTTCATAAATTTTTATAATTTTAACTCTTTTATCCAGATTTGTGTGCTTTTTACCTCTTATTTTTATGTAATTTTACCTTTTTGTTGATTACGTGGTGTTGGATGCAGGTTTTACAGGGCCATACACCTTTTAAGCAGTTAGTAAACAGGTATGTAATATGATGCATATAAGCTGAGTTATGGGTCAGAAAGTAAATTCTTGCTGTACAAGTTTATACTGTTTTCTTTTGCGTTTGATCGAGTATTTGCAGTGCCGGCATGGTTCATTTTTCTGTGCTACATGTATATTCCTCTAGGCTAAATGTGGGAATGAATAGTTATACATGGTGCAAATCAACTTGAATTATGCATCTAAGTGTATGCATTTCAACCTTACTAAATGGTCAATAGACTCACTACGTAATTTGTCTGAGAGAGAGATTTCCTTATATTCTTCTGTTCAAGATTTTCGGTTTCTGTTGTGCAGATTTGAGAATGAACTCATTGTTGCTGTGGGAAAAGGAGAACCTGCTGCTGTGATGGCTGAATATGGATTTAAGTAAGTTTCTGGTCTGGTTGTCCAAATTTGATTTTGGCATGTCGAGTTTCTTCACAAGCTTGAACAAAATGTCTAATTTGATCTGAGATTTTGCTCCTGAATGGTTTTTTTTTTTTTTTTTTTTTTTTTTGCCTTTCAGAAATGTTCTTTCAATTGATGACTATGCATCCTGCTTCGATAACATTGACCCGCTAGCACCATATAAAAAATGGATAACTAAGCAAGTTGCTGATCAGAGTAGGGCGGTTGCTGCCAAAGATCTTGTTCTCTCACAAAGAGTTCAGGCGGCGTTTGTAGTTAGTGATTCTGTTGATTGGAGCAGAGACATTCAGGTTATCTTGGACAAGTTTATTTGTTCATAATATTATAGGGACTTCTTGTATGCACATTCAGCTATACTAAGAGGATGCGTGAATCACAATGCATCATTGTTGGTTAGCTAGACGTGAATTACTCAAAATGTCATCAATCTGGTATTTAAATATTTTCAAACGATTCCAGTCATTTGGTCCTTATTCTCCCGCTTTCTTGTTTTAGTAATTTCAGAAGCTTTATCAAGTGTCTAATGAATAACAATGGTGATTTCAGGTTCTATGCGACATTTTAAGAACCGGTGGTCTTCCTGGTAGGGGAATTGGACACCAACCACAGCTGTATTTTGCGCATGATGACCTTGCATACCAGGTTGGTTCCCCCTCCCCTTGTAGTTAGTTAATTGTACTGTTAATCCAGTATACCTTATTGAGTTTCTATGGAACTACTTGTGATTAAAAAAAATGATGTACTGATAAGGTGCCCCTAAAGGTAGGCTGCTTTTCCTTCTGAGCGTTTTGGAATGGGAGCTTTCAGAATAGCACTGGAATCCATCTTTAATAGGTAAGACAAGAAATATAAAAAAAGCATATCGTGTTCTTGTCCTAGAAATATACAAATGTGAATAGTAGGACAAAGGCAAGGATGCTGATGATAATAATTTGATGTGATTACTTGTGCTTCAAGCTAAACTTGTTTGTTAAATTAAATATGCAGAATCGACCCTCATGCTCTGGAGTACACAACTTTCGGGAAGCCAAATCCATTCGTATTCAAGAATGCAGAACTTATACTTAAGCAACTTGTGTTATCTCTTCAAGACAAGGTTCAAGTTCTCAATCCAGCAAATGCTGGAGGCCATAATTTCAAAACACTGTATATGATAGGAGATAATCCTGCAGTTGACATCAATGGCGCACGGCAGGTTTGCCTCTCTTGGGCCAGAAATTTGGTTGCATGGTTTTCACACTAGTGATACGGGGTTAAAATCAAACAATATTGCAAGGGTTAATTATATTTTTCGTTTCAGGCTGGCCATCCCTGGTTTTCTATTCTGACAAGGACAGGGGTTTTCAAGGGAAAGGAAAATCATGCTGAGTTTCCGGCGGATCTGGTAGTGCTTAATAACTTTTTCTGCAATACTATGAAAATGTAGCATCATCTTTTACTTTATAGTTCTTCCCTATTTGATCTATAATACATATTCAAATTTGTTAACGGATACGTCATGATGCTTCTGTAGGTTGTTGACACGGTGGAAGAAGCTGTAGACTTTGTTTTGAGAAAGGAGTGCAGCTCTTAGAATTTCGTTCGCTCACTTAATTTTTTCGTTCCCCCTCCTCCTCAGGTTCAAGTATTTTCTGATTACTTAATCAGTATATACATATATTTTTTCAACATTTTATAAGAAAGAAAATTTAGGGGAAGACAATTGAGGTGACATCTAAATGAATAAAAGATGAACCGCAGTCGGGTTTTCATTTTCGGCTCAATTTGTGGTCTATACCTTTATCGTGTTTACTTACTACGAAATGAAAGTAATTGTGAATGGTAATGATATGAGAATGATACACGGTTGTTCGTATGTTGGAGTATGGCATACCTAATCCCACATGTGGCTCACTTTGTATTCTGAAGTCCTAGTTAATGCAGGATACACCATACGTGAAATAATACTCCACACATTTTTCGTAAGTAAAAACATGCCAGTGCTGTTGAACATGAAGCACATCAAGATTCATGATCTTTTGCTCTTTATTCCACTAGGAAGTAATTGTGTGACAAAGTTGGCTCGTCCGTCGATTGCCATTTTGTGGTCAAGGGACTCAAAGAAATAATTCTACAACAATAAAACCTTATCTTACTAAGCAGGGTCGATTGTACGAATTCATAAACAAAACAAAAATTCTAATAATTACAAAACGACGTAAAAATCCTAACACAAACAAAAAGTAAGTTTTTAGAGTTTTTAAACTTAATCTCACTTCTTTCCTTTATCTCCCTCTTATCCTCTCACTCCAAATCTCTCTTTTCTTCTTTCTCTCTCCTCTGTGTTTTTACCTTTTTCGTCTCTCCTCCAATCTGCTCTCTTCATTCTCTCAGTTCTTTCTCTCACTCATCTTATCTCCTCCGATTCTCTCTCTTCTTTTCCTGTCCTCCAATCATCTGTTACTTTCTTTTCTCCTCTCTCCTCTTTCTCCCTCTCTTGCAACACCCTCTTTTCGGATCACTTTGTCTAGTTTAAGTTTTGAGATTTAAATATTTTAAATCGCATACCAAACAAGTTTTTGAGTCCTAAAGAAAATTGTTTTCAATAAATGTTCTTAAGAAATATTTTGTGAAATAATAAAAAATTTCGAATATGATACCAAACAGACCCTCAAATATCCCTAATCATGGAGGAAATAGTGCATCAAGCTATTGGCAAGGGCCAACTTGATTCCCTTCCCCAAAGTATAAGAAGCTCTTGGGAAGATTAAAGAAAGAATATGTTCTTCTTCCGTAAAGAATTCGTCCAATCCAAAGGAATGAAAAGGTGACTGAATTGGTCTTAGTTACTCTTCCGAACGGAGTGGAAGAAGGGAAGAGATTCTCGAACGAGACAAAGGACCCAATGACTTCAAAAGAGTTGAACGAGAAGCTGTGCGAGGAAAAAATCTCATGTACAGTTCTGTAGAATGGCATTTAGGGTGACTTATCTAAATGGCTTATTGGGATAGATGAACAATATCTCCCCCCTAGAAACGTATAAGAAATTTTCTCCTCGTACGACTCGAGAAAATTATAAATTATATCTATGTAGAGAATCATAATATCAAATAGATCCATTTTGAATAATAGCATCTCCTATATTCAAACAAATTAGTCAGTGACAAGAAGGTTAAGAAAACACAATCGGAATTACAGATGTTGCTCTACCTTTCTCTAAAGTTGTGCAGTCAATGGATAAACCGTAGGGAACTTTAACGAAAAACTTTCGATACTGTTCACTTTAACGAAAAATCACATTTTTACACTAAAAAGTCAATTATGATGTTATTCACTTTACCCTTTATTTTGTTCTTATCGTTAAAACTCAGAGTTTTCAAGCTCTTTTCATTAGTTTTCCTTAAACCGTAATAGTGGCAGCATATTCCAAGGGTGTATCTTTATTGATCTTGTACCATACCCACTAATCTTTCACAATATACATCTGCCATGTCCCTAAAAAAACTAAGGACAAAAGGTATGCAAATATTTTGTTTTCACCACCGTAAATGTAAGGAAATGAGATCTTGAAATGAAGAATGTACAGAAAGAAGGCGAACCCGACTGAAGGTACCTCTCCTACGCCTTCATATCCTCCAATTGCTGGAACATGTTATACCCTTTTTTCATGGTTCAACTAAAAACCCCCCTCGAGATATGACCTTACAAAATTTTTGCAGCTTTGTTTACTCATGTTACGTTTAAATTCGAATTTGTTAAAACAAGCTATGAGTACCGACAAAATTCATATGGTCAAAGTTTTCATGTGTTATAGTAAGAGTACGACATGATTAATATGTATCACATATAAGATATATAAATAAATAAATAACAGATTCAATTATCGTATATGTGGAATATTAGATTCACGTGGCCGTGTGTTAGATAAACCGAAAAATTGCTCCTAAAAATCAAGCAACAAATCGGAGCACATGTTAAAACTTTAACTCCATTTTCTGAACAACCAATCAAATAATAAATAAAAAATGAGACCGAACCCATAAAAATAAAGAGAAAAAACCTTCATTCGGTTAATATCAGAAGGGTTGTTTATTACTGTGTATGTGTTTTAGTCATTCTCTCGCTTTGTCGATGAAAGTATTTAGTTCTTGGTTGTGGTTGCTCTCTCGTTTTGTCGAGAAGAGATTTTGTAGTTGTGGTCATGGTCGTGACTTGTTCAATCTCAAATTTTAGAGCAGTGCTTGTTGTTTAGATCTAAGGTGGTGGTGTTTGTGGTTTGTACACTTAGCAAAAGACTATAGGAAGGAAACTCAATGTTTGTTGGAGGGGAAATCATAGCAGGGCTTCTTTGTCAACGATTGCAAAATCATTATAGATTATTGCGGTCTTTTTCTTGTGGAGCCTCTACGTTAATTCTTGGGCTTGCAATGTTTTAGTCATCGTGACTTGGGGTTAGGATTAAAGGGTCTTTTGTGATTGAAGAATGGTATTGTAAATTGATTTGTTTGTAATTGTAGGGTTATGATATTCTTTTAAAATGTATAATCTTTAATTGTTCTAAAAGACACGTTTAATATGTTTGTCGTATGTACTTTTTTGACTATTTCTAATGAAATTATTTTCCCTAAAGAAAAACCACTGTAGCTCAAAAGTCAAGCTTAATGAAACATTTCAACTTTAGAGCAGTTAAACATTTTTTTTTTCTTAGTAAAACATTGTTTTCACTGTGTTTAGGTGGAAAATACATCCGGTCACCGACATTTCAATTTTGCCAATTTAACCACTGCACTTTATTCAATTTGCAATTAACTCCAACGTTTTTTGTTTTTTTTTTTTGTTTTTAAATGAAACAACTGATGATAAGTTAAGGTTATTCATCTATTTTAAGTCCGGAAGGATTATGAAGAATTTTACTCTGCTCATGATCATATTCAAATCAAACCTCTCATATTTTGTTATTCATTGAAAGACCGTAGTTGCAACTTACTGTGGTTATTTAACTCAAACGTTTCACTTCCCATCAATTACCCACCTACCAGGTACTTTCTTAAATATTCTGTTCCCCTTGGAATTTATCATGATTTCATAAGTTTGTACTTGAACAATGATTCAAGAAAGAAAAGAACGTACTACTGCAGGCTGCAAAGCAGAGCGTGACACAAAAATGAAATTAGAATGTAAAACGAGTCGTATACACGAAATTGACATTAAATCATTGCCACCAATTATTGCTTATTTTTGGAGTACTGTGCCAACAATTAATCTAAAACATTATTTGTTTTTAAGTGTTAGAAGTGTATATATGCTTCAGAAGTTACTATTTTTCCCCTATGATCTCGTTTTATAGGGGAGATTTTTTTTTAATTACAAATAATATTATTTGTACTAAATAGAAAACGCGGGCTAAGTCTCATAATATGCTATTATAATATGGTTTAAATTCGCATTTGGCGAAAATCGAACTTAAAACATCTCACAGATAAATGAATAATAATACCACCAGGCTGTAGTACTAAATAGATGTTGAATATGCTCTTACAATTGGCAAATTAAAACGTGGGGAAGGTGCCTTCTAGTGTGAAACTGCCCTAGAATTTCTATCCCCATATAGATGGTCTATATACCGAGTCCCTCCCAAGCTACTCATTTTAGAAATTTGACCTCTTGCTTTTGGCATTTTCATTAAGTTAGGATCATATCTTACTTAGATACATCACAACATATCATTATAATTTTTAAAATGGTCAGCCGGCGGATTCAATTTTTTTTTTTAACAAACGATTACGGTGTGGAAGGGGGTTAAACTTCACACTGTGTTAACCATAATAAAATAGTTCAAATTCGACTTTGACGAAAATAGAACATAAGACCTCTCATTTATAAGTAAAGAATAATATCACTACCACTAATTCGTAGTATTAAGTAGAAGTTGCTGATTCAATTAGTGTCCAATGAAAATAGGAGTAGGTAGTGCAATGTCCAAATAAAAGTTTTTTAATTGGTTTTCAGTTTAGTTGGAATAAAAAAAAGTTATTTGTAGCTATACGTGTACGGCGGAGCTTTCCTAAATCCATGCATGCATCACTACCCATTAACGTGCTACTAATTTAGTACAGATAACCCACTCTCTAGACCACTAATCAAAATTATTACTGTTCGTAATAAGCTTAGTAGATGACACGTGTGGTATTAGAATATATGACACAATCATCTTGGACTCCTACATTGTTTTATAACAAGATATTGGAATCAAACTTTGGGACATCTCCCTAATTAAAATTGGTTATAACTTATAACTTGACCATGTTGGAATGAAACGAGTATAGAATGACTATCTTAAAGTGTTTGACATCTTTTTAATTAAGACTAAGACTGATTATAACTTATAACAAGTCTTAATTAAAGAGACATCAAATAGCCTGAAACAATCTCAAAAATGTTTTGGTATAAGATAACTACTAAAATCGAAGTCCCAAAATATTTTAGATGAAATCTGGTGCCTAGCTCTTTGACATGTGACAAACTGACTGACATGTATATATTATTTGGTTAAAATTGGATCCACATGTTAACACATGGATCCAACTTATAATTTAATATGAACATTACCGCGTTTTTTTTTTTCTTCTTTCAAAACCCTACTTAATTTAGATAAACTACAATACTCTGTAGAGTATTACATTTGTATTACATCTCTAATAGAGTAGAATCCACCAATACAAATTGATTATACTTTTATTAAAGACGTGAGACAAATGTGGTATAATTCTATTTCCTAATTGTA